GTCATGCTTGGTAGGGTGGAGGGTAGACGAAAGAGGGGGAGGCCTTCAATGAGATGGATTGACACGGTGGCTGTGATGATGGTCTCAAGTATAGCAGGGATTGTGGGGCTGGCGTGGGATAGGGCAGTGTTTCGTTCTGCTGTGCATGGGGTCGCTATGAGTCGGAAATGACTCGACGGCACTTAGCAACAACAAAAGCGGGGTTTTATCCCACATCTGTGGAGTCATTGTTCTTTGCCTTCCCCCTAACACATAATGCAAAGTCCCAAAGACATTGAGAGTCCCCTCCACCTCAAATGAGTGTGTTGAAAGCCAATTATTTTTCATATTACAAATGGGACATTTGAAACCCAGAGAGGTGACATGACTTGTTCAAAGTCATAGAAGGAGGAGGATTCAAGCACATAATGAAGCAAAATGGTTGAAATTGTTACTGATGCCAAGGTTGTCTTTATTAAGACAGTAAAAGTTAAGCTCCTACTGAAGGTAAAACAATCTGGAAACTCTCGTCTTTGACTGAAAAGCTCATTTAACAGCAAGATCATATCCATACTCCATTCGCACCCCACCAAAAAAGCAAACATGGAAAAAGCAGACTCTTCTGGCCTTATTTTAAGAAGAAAATATCAGAGTGTGCTCTGGCTGGGGCTAACCACCAAAACCATCTACACTTAGAGGCCAGTCCTGTGATCGGTAATAACGTGGACTGAGTTACAGTCATTATTAGCATCATTAATTATTGAGCAGCCTCTTTCCAAAGATATTAAAACAAACATTTTGATATTTTAAGGGTAAAACTTAAGTTCTCTTCAAATTTATGTCACTCAGAACACTTCCTTGCTAATTTTGCCAAATAATTGAGGAATGATCAAATTTATCAAATTCACACATTGACATATGTGTAATGTTCAAATAAATAATATCAAAGCATGTTCTACATATACAAAGACTTGGCTCAACAAAATTTCTGGGAACAAATATGTATTTAAGAGTGAAACTAAACAATACATAAGCAAAATATTTTCCCTGTCTACAAAAGTGCATTACAGATTACCAGTGGTTTGGATACTTTTCAAGGAAGTATCATTTTACAAACACTATTTATGAAGTGTTTTGACTATAAAATTGAATGATATTTTATGGTATTAAAGCTTTGCTATAACATATATGGCTTAAAATTTAAATATATTTGGCTTACTACTTTCAACCCAGGACCACACTTTTTCTGCATATAGCCTATGCTTGATGATCCAGAGATACAATACTTTAGATACAGGAAATGTTCCTGCATAGTGATTTTTAAATGTGTCGAAATCCTTCAATATGTAAGGAGACCCAGAGAAACAAAGTGAGTTGTCCGAGAAATAAAGTGAGTTGGCCAAAATAACACAACCATTTAGTAACAGAGCCAACCAGAATTTAAGATTCTTGAGCCCAATGGTGAGAGGCGTGAGTAGGCATCATTAGGCTAAGGATACTTGGCTTCCAGTCCTAGTCTTGCTGTAGAAGCAAGTTTTGTCACCTCTCTGGGGTTTTCTCCTCCCAAAAGGAGCTGCTGCATGGTACTGGCAATCACTTTGTTTTATCAAAGCTTATTGGACATTTCCTTTGTGCCAAGTGTGCATTGCGGTTTACTGTCTAGCCACTGCCTCCAGGGAGCCCTCAAGCACCAGAGTTAGGCAGTCATGAGTTAACACCCCAGCTCAATCACTTCCTAGCTCTGTTCCCTTGAGCAAAATACTTTTCTTATGCCTCAGCTTCCTCACCTGTAACAGAGTAATGTTGTGTGCCATCAAGTGGATTTCAACTCCTAATGACCCTATAGGACAGAGTAGAGCTGCCCTATAGGTTTTCAAAAGGTGTAATCTTTATAGCAATGGACTGCCACATCTTTCTTCTGCAGAGTGGGCTGGTGGGTTTGAATCATCAACTTTTCAATTAGCAGCCAAGTGCTTAACCGCTAAGTCACCAGGGATTCTTGCAGTAGAATAGTAATTTCTAATTCATAAAGATGATGTGAGGCTTAAATAAGATAAACTAAGAAAAAAAAAAA